AGCAGTCAGCAAGTAAATTTTCACATATGCGTTGAGATTACAATCATGATATTAGGTCGGAAGTTGATGCAAGGCTTATTTCGGTCTTTCTCAAACATCGTTGAGAGAGTTAGTTTTGAACAATTTAACCTATCGAGCAAGTCTTTTGTATGAGACTAATCAGCTGCAGAGTCGGGTGCACCAGCATCTCCGCTCCCGCGCGGCCGTCTCGCTTGCACTCTTCACTCTTTCGCGAAAATGCTCTCTGATCATCTCCAGTCGATTGAGCCTGCGGCTTTCCCAGGCTCGTGGTGGGAAAGTGAACAGAGAGCATGTTCGCGAAAGAGAGGCAGAGTCCAGGCTAGGTGGCCGCGCGGCGGATGTGGGTGCACCCGACTCTGCAATTGATAAGTCCTGTTGATTAAATTTGAAGAAAATTTGAAAAAAAAATGGAAGAAAGCAATGTGTGAATCAAATAGCTCACAAACTAAATAATCACAAACGATGGAAACCTTTCAATCATAATTTTTATTATAATAGTATCAAGCTGGACCTGAACTGACAATGATTTTATTGTAAGTTTGCTTTGTTTTCTTTTTTGAATTGTACTACCTCGGGTGTACTATATGTGTGGTCCCTAGATTTTGTAGCACGCCTTAGAGCATAAAAAATAAATAAATGAAGAGTGGGAAAAGACGGAGTTACAACCTAAGTTTCAAAAATTTTTGAAATCTGGCTATCTGTAAAAAGAATTTCTCATCGCATTCATGTTGTTTCTAACCATATTAGTTTAGGTAGCGACGATCCTCCGACAACAAGATTCTGTTGTTGAGATGATAGTAGGACGGCCGATCAATTACGCCGATAGACCACCTGATAATCCTGGTCAGTTTCTTTTCCTCATTTTGGAAGACGATTTCATTGATTCGCGAAATCTCGAACATCTTGACGTGACTCTTCACCTTTGCTAAATAGTTTCAAACATTCCAAAGGTTTTGTTGTTCAAATGTCGGAACTGTGCTCCCAAACTCAATCCC